CCCCCACCCGCCGCGTAGCGGTGGGGGCCGGGGGGGCAGTAGGTCCCCCCCCTTATTATCAATATGGCCCCCACCCGCCACGCAGGGGTGGGGGCGGGGTGGACAATAGGTCCCCCCCTTATTTTTCATTTTAGGGCCCCCACCCACCGCTCAGGGGTGGAGTCCGGGGGGGGACAATAGGTCCCCCCTTATTTTTCATTTTAGGGCCCCCACCCACCGCTCAGGGGTGGGGGTCGGGGGGGGACAATAGGTCCCCCCTTATTGTTATTAGGGCCCCCACCCACCGCTCAGGGGTGGGTGCCGGGGGGGACAATATGTCCCCCCTTATTGTTATTAGGTCCGCCGGGGGGAGGACAATAGGTCCCCCCCTTATTGTTATTAGGGCCCCACCCACCGCTCAGGGGTGGGGGCTGGGGGGGGACAGTAGGTCCCCCCCTCATTATCTTTATGGCCCCCACCCGTTGCCCAGGGGTGGGGGCCGGGGGGGGGAGGAGAGTAGGTCTCCTCCCCCCCTTCAACCAGTAAGAGTCCCTGTGGGTTTTAAAATTCGCCTGCCCATCGAAGTCTATGGCGGTTCGCCGGGTTCGTCGGGTTCACGAACATTTGCGGAAGTTCGCGTTCGCCGTTTGCGAACCGAAAATTTCATGTTTGCGACATCACTATTAAAGACAGACTCTTATTGTCTTAAAATGTAATTAGCTCAACATAATCACATTCTTACCAGTGTCTTCATCCTCATTATTGGTATCATTTGGTTCATTTTGTATGGTTTCAGCAACCACATGTATCCTAACAGCTTTGTCTGCCGTGACTTGTAGTTTGTCTCACCTTTGTCGAAATATAGCCTGCTCCATTGTTTTCCAGCATCCCCTCTAGGCCCGTAATCTGCTGCAATTTGCATGCTGAGGATATGATAACCAGACAAGTGCACACAATGGAGGAACATAGCACACATGTATTTACTTATTGCTCACCACTTTCTTTTCTGTCTGTAATGGTAAGCTCCTTAGGAGACAACATCAAATAATGTTATAAAATGCACTGGACCTAGAACATAGGTCCATGCAATGTATCTAATTCAAGTGGAATACATAAGATGAGAAAAACATGGGTAAATGTTGTCAGAGCATGCGTAGCAGAGAAAGCTGAATTTTTATCTTTTGTCTGACATTTTGCCAATATCCTATTGCTTGCATTTTTGTCAGCATACAAGTCATTGTGATTTATTTATTTATTAAATATTTTTCCAGGAAGGATACATTGAGATTTCTCTTGTTTTCAAGTATGTCGTGGTGTCAGGCTTCTTACCTGAGATGGGAGTCTGTAGCGCAGATATGTTTGCTCACCCTTGCAAATAGACAGTCCAAGGTGACCAGATAAGAAGCCACCTGGACTGTGAATCTATGCAGGAAAGGTGATTCCAATGAAGTACCGACAAGGACACAAACAGCAGGATAGTCAAGGGATAGCCAAAGTCAAAGGATGCCAGGATTAACAAAGTGTAGCCAAAGATCAGGATAAACGAAGACAGAAGCCGGGGCCAATATGAATTTTAAGTTCAAGAGACTGGAACACAGGAACTGAACTCACACAACAGGATCAAAGACTTGAAAAAGTTCCCAGGGCGAGGCTGTGTTTATATATCCTGATATGAAGATTAGATGCAAGTTTTTCAATGTGGAGGACAAAAGATAGACTGGGGTCTAACAACATACCCAAGTATTTGTAATATTTTGTATTACTTTAACAATGCATCCATCCATTTTTCCAAAGAGATTAAACCTCGCTGTGTACCTACAGTCTGTTTATTGCAGAAACCACTAAAACATACGATTTACAGATTTTGATGCTTTAAGAAGGTATTATTTAGAGTTTAGAATTTCTAAAAATCTTCAAAGGGACTGTATCCTACACTAGATTATAAATTGCAATATATTAGTCTAGTTTGTGGATATTTTTTAATTTTTATTTTACTGTTGTGTAGAAAAATATATAAAAGAAATTATTTATTTTATTATTAATATTTGTAGAGAACCAGGATAATTTTTCAGATGATTCCTAAAAAAAAAAAAAGAGACAGATGAGATGAAATCTAATTTTTCTAAATATAAACAGGAAGTGAACTATACCTCAAACCCCACTTTATTCGAACTAGACTGGGAAACTGAAAAAAAGGAACAAAAATACAGTAGCATTTTAATTGCAATTACAAAAATGGATTGATTCTGACATGTATAAGTGTTATTTTTCTGTCTATTGATGCACAAAGCACTTGATTGCCTTGAGATAGTCATACAATTTCTAAAGCAGCATGCCTGATTATACAACTCCCCACAGTGCACAGTCAACACATTTTCATGTATGTATTTTAATATTAGTTACAAAGTCTATTGCTTCCAAATCACTTTCTATGATTACATGGACAAAGGTATTTGTGAAACCAGTCATATTATTGACATAGGCCTCTTTTTAATTTTGCTGGATATTTCTTTTTTAATTTTTTGTTATTTTTGGTTAAGCTTTTAAAATGTCTATTTTTTAAAAAATTAAAACATCAAAAATATATAAATATGTTACAATATGGATAGCTTCATCATTATTCTTAACTTAAAGAAACTTTCTAATGTTAGAAATACAAACATGTAGTCCCAACATAGTTACATAGACCAAAAAAGACATATGTCTATCAAGTTCAGCCTTTCTCACATGTTTTTGCTGTTGTTCAAAAAGAAGGCAAAAAAAACCAACTATTTGGAGCACTGTCCAATTTTGCAACAAACTAGGAAAAACATCCTTCTTTCCACATAAAATGGTAGTCAGATCTCTCTTTGTATCAAGAAGTTGTTACCCCACATATTCACAATTGTATACCTGAATATTATGCTTTTGCAAGTATTCATCCAGTTGCTGTATAAACATTTGTACATACTCAGATAAAATCACATCTTCATTGTTCTTATTGTGAAAATTTTTTTATTTTCCTTAAACTAAATCTCATTTCTTCCAGTCTAAATGTGTGTCCTTGTGTCTTAGGTATTTATTCTGTTCTTTACCCCGAAGTGCACAACTTTGCATTTATCTACATTAAATTTCATCTGTGATTTGTGTGCCTTGTACCTAAGTGCAAAACCAACCTAGTACTCTAAAAAGGCAAAAACTCTCCTTCCTACACCATAACTTTAGCCACACATAAAAATCTGTAATCTCCCCCTGCCTTATCTGTGAATATACACCTTTTACCTCAGTTAACTTCTAAACTTGTTCTTTTGGACCCTCCATCTTCCTCTGACTTTGCAATTTGTAGCAATATTGACCATGACAACTGGAAAATCCCCAGCCTCTCCAATTAATCCATCCACTCTTTTAGAAATATGCTAGACCTGAGCACCCGAGAGACAGCAAAATGTCTGGTTGAGATGATCAGAGCGATGTTTTATCCTAGCTTTTAATAATGGCATCCCCTACCACAACAACCAATCAAATGAGCAAATCTGTTTGGCTGCACAAATCAAGAGTAGCTAAACCATACATCTTCCCTCCCCCCTGCTATGACATGTAACTTTAACCCACTACATGCCTGTTCCCCAGCTCTGTTATTTCTATGAGAAGCCCCCAACTAAACTCTGCTCAGTGAGTAGCAGACCCCATTCAAGATTGTCAAGCTATCTCAATGTTTTAATGTGCTTCTCCAGATCTCCAATATGAGCTCACACCTGCCACAGAGGTATGTACCCTGGACTAATTCATGCAGGCATGCATACATGTAACAAGATGTGCAGACCAGCAATCTTGCTAACATTCATTTCCTCAGTTACAAAAAAAACGCACAGGGCAGTAACACATTTACCTTGTTGTTTTCAACTCCTACTTAACCCCTTTGTACAAGGTCTAAAACAAAACCTGGAATTTGAGGTATATGTTTGTTCAACCATAATTTACCTTTTTCATATTAAGGGCACCCACACATATATATCAATTTCTCCAGCAGAAATATTGCTTTTATTTTACATCAAACATTTATATATAAAATATAATAAATATAATTTAAAATGAACAAAATCTAAAAAAAGTGTAAGACCGTATGGCAGCCAAGGAATGAAAATTCCCCACATAAATGCACACTATTTGCAAAAGAAAACAACCCAGGGTATTCAAAATGGGGTATGCACAATCTTATTGTAGTAGCCACATAGTCACAAACCATGGTTCATGCTTGTTTTGTTTGCCTTTTTTTCACACAAAAAAAACCCATTTTTTTTTACATATGATATAATCGTCATTATGTTTTACTACTCTAAAGCACTCATTTTTGTTTTCAGAGATGTCTCACAAGTACAAACGTACTCTCTAGGTACAGTTTTTTGGACGTTACAGGGACAAATATAGGGCTTGCAAATTAAATTCTGCCTGGGTTGTCAGGCAGGTTTCCAATATATAATTCATAAGATCACATAATTATGTAAATATAATACATACATATACACATAGAATTCAATTCATTTACTTCTCATCTTCTCAGTTTTTATAATAAATTATAACAATAAGTTGTTTTTTTTCCACAGACTATGGAACAATTAAAAAAGTCCTGGCGCCAATAAATCAAAATACAAGTAGTTGCTTACTGGAAGAAATTGAACTTTTACCAAAGAAACAAATGGAGCCAATTCGAAGATTACAAATTCTTCACAGTCAAAGTGTACTGTTTGTGGGCTTATATGGTCATGTTATAAAGATCCCTTTGAAACGATGTATGTTCTACAAAAGCCGCAGGTAAGTTGTAGTTGAGGTAACATTTGATTTCTCATTAGTTTTCTTGTTTACTTTGAATCACAATGTATTTGTATTTATACAAAAGTCTTTATATAAAAAAAAAAAAATTATATATATAATTATATATAATTATATATAAAAAAAAAACAATCCACAATATCCTTGCACTCTGACTCCAAAAGCAATAAGACCGGGTGCTTGAAATCGGGGGAAGATATCACATACCAATGTAGGATGACCAGCACTCACGGATTTCCAAAAAGTGATTAAAAAGTTAAAGTTTTATTAATCCATCTCTTAAAAAGCTGCTTCAACGTTTCCTGATGAAAGTCCCAGACGTGGACTGAAACGTTGGAACAGCTTTTTAAGAGATGGATTAATAAAACTTTAACTTTTTAATCACTTTTTGGAAATCCGTGAGTGCTGGTCATCCTACATTGGTATATATATATATATATATATGTATATATATATATATATAATATTTATTTGTAAGAGGGGCCATTAGACGTAATAGTAAGATAATAACAACAAAAGTGAGTACCAGTCGGTTGTGGTGTGCCGGAACTGACGTATGGAGTAGGCCTGTAATAAAAGAGGGCCTACCCAATAAATTGTAAAGAAGGGAAGAGGTGGGAGGGATGAACCCAGCGGTGGCGGTTCTGATATGGAGTGGGCCTGAGCTTATATACAATTACAGGCTACGCCTTTATATTTGTAGTCAGGAACATAAGCTGTAATAGTAAGATAATAACAACAAAAGTGAGTACCAGTCGGTTGTGGTGTGCTGGAACCGACGTATGGGGTAGGCCTGTAATAAAAGAGGGCAAAAAGTTTGATGTAAACAAATAACTTTATTATACACGTTACACAGCTAGACCTTTAAATGCTAATCTCAATTCCTGTTCTGGTTGTGGAATGTTACTGTATTTTAATTATATGAGCAGGGACGTTGTGACTTGAAGCTGCTGAAGCGGCTCCAATGCTGAATGAGTGGCCAGAAAAACCAGAGGGGTCGAGACAGAGTCTAATAAACAGAGTTCTGATGTAGTATATGAATTTTGTAGTGGTCAAAGGGTAACCATGTCATGAAAGTAGTGGTGTATTAGGATTAAGACCAGCAAGTGCAGAATGATATGTGTCAAATGTTCTAATGGGACACCATGGGTTACCAGTGGGATAATAGCAGTCTTTAGTATGCAGGTCTAGCTGATTTGTTTTAGTGTGATTGATGGTAAGTACATAATGGTCAGTATCTTTTTAAATTTTTGTAATTTTAAGGTGCAGGTGGTTAGACGTGATGTTATTTGTAGTGAATTAATTTGGTCGTAAGAATCCATAGAAGGTTAGATAAGCTGCCATTTTGATAACAAGATTAGTGTTGGTTTCGAATGGATTGGTGTTCAGAATGTCTGAAAGTGCATGAAATTTAGGTCCGTCAATAGGAAGCCTGATAGTGGTAATGGGTTTGTCTAATCGATGTATGCCTTTCAATATGTTCTTAATGGGATAGGTAGACATGAAGGAGCTTGTGCTAGGGTAGGCACGTGGGATGTGATGTTGAATTTCTGTGAGAGAGAGTTTTATAGTGTTTAGTGGTAATTTTAAGTTAAGGTGGCAAAAGGAGATAAATGCTACTATCAAGTCTAGTGAATGAGTGTCACTTATCTGGTAATCTACTGTGAATTTGGTGTATAGGGTAAATGCTCTATTGTATGCCCGTGGTGTGTTGGTAGAGAGGGCTGAGATGGCCAGATATCTGCTGTGTGATAAGAGTCTTTTTAGTCCAGGATGAGGTCCTGGTATGAGGGGGTGCTTAGCGGTCTGATGTTGGCTGCGGGATGGGTTCTGAAGAAAACCTGTAAATTAAATCGAGACAATGCATCAGCGGCTGTATTGGTGCGTCCTGGGATGTGTATGCATGTAATGTGGAATTGCAGCATAGCTGCTAACCATGTTAATCGTCAAATTAGTCTCATAATGGTAAGTGATGAAGATCTGCCCTTATTTATGATGTTGCATGCTGCTTTATTATCGGAGAAGCATTTTACTGCTTTCCCTTGCCACAGGTGCCCTCATTCTTTGGAGGTTGCCACTATCAGGTATATTTCAAATAGGGCAGATGTAGTGTGCAGTGAGGGTAGACCATAGGTCTCAACTGGTCAGAAAAATCTAAACCAGGAGTCATCAAAGATGGCTGCAAACCCTGTACGAGCTGCGGCATCTGCCCATATGACCGGGGAAGAGTCTGGGAGGGAGTTGTCCAGGAGGTGGAAGGGTCTGGGAGGGAGGGTCTGCTACTGATTGGCTGGAAGGGTCTGCTGCTGAGGGTCTGCTGCTGACTGTGAGGTACAGGGTCAAAGTTTACCGCATATATTTGCCCTCTGTGGCGAACCGTTCGGCAAACCGTTCGGGACATCACTAAATATGAGTGACATACATTTTAATGAGAACAAGAGAATTGGTTCAATATAATGTACATGAAGAGTAGTATTTTTTAACTGTTGTCATAATGTAATTTAGCCGTTAGAGGTCATAGTGAGCAACTGTGTGTATAGAGTGTTTGTTTGGAACGACTTGTTCGTATGACGATCGACCGGTTTGCCGAACAGCGTACGAAGGTTAGCACCAGAACGGTGAGTACACATGTGTAGTGTAAGTGGTTCCAAACAGACAATTTCATATGGGTGAATGCTGAGTGTTTGGCACAAATGCCACTTGAATGGGTACCCATTCGGGCGAACTCAAGGTTTGTGTAAACTAACAGGACCCAGAGCTGTACCCCGGAAGTCATGGGGAGGTGAGAGTTCAGCAGTTCAGCTCTGTTGTCGTGTTACCGCAGCTGGCGGAACTGGTGGTCAGGTTTAGTTGGAGTGAGGTAAGGCGGGTAACAGGACCAGCGTGGAGCGAGGTTGAGGTGAGTGGACCGGAACCGGAAGTCAGAGGTTCTGTATGAACCCAGCAGTGACGGTTCTGATATGGAGGGGGCCTGAGCATATATAGCCGGGTAACCCCTCCCACAATTACAGGCTACGCCTTTATATATATATATATATATATCTATATCTATATCTATCTATCTATCTATCTATCTATATATATATATATATATATATGAAAAATCTAAGTAAGCACTTCTGGTTGGTTGAGTTCTGCCATATATGGAACAGACTTGCCCAATGTTGGGTTAAAATGACTGACAAGGAGAAACCACATACTTAGAAAAGGACAGTCAGTATAATATACTGTAATCATTTTTCACTGGACATTGAGATTGAGTTGTAAAAACAGAATCAGCAGAGTTGTAAAGGCATTTTTCAATCTTGTGCAGCTGACTGATTATATTAAATAAAAAGGTAAAATTATGAATCTTTTGTATTTGTTATATTTAAGATAATCTAGTATTAACAAATTGTGACAGTGAAGTCAATAATTTTGCTCTTTAAAAGGACACTGCAAGCATTATAATTATTGCAGTGCACTACAGGAGTGCCTTAGCACTCCCCATTCTAAATAGTGAAACTATTTAATAATGGTTTGACTTCCTACCTGTGATCTACTGTACATCACTCCCTGCCTCTATTACATGTCAATAAGAGCCAGAAACTCTCTTTACTGTGATAAGCCCTCTCTGATACTCCCAGCCAATTAGTTAGCCTGATACTGCAGAGATTAGATCAGTAGAACTCAACAAAACTCTTGAGAAGTAGTTACCAGCTATCACTTTAGTGGCATGAGGAGCTTAGCCCACGCCCCAGGTAAGAAGTTAAACCATTCTAAATGCTTTGGCTATTTATGATGGGGGGGGGGGTGTCACCATGGCATAAACACTGCAGTGCACTGTACAGGTTATGGTGTTTGAAGTGTTCCTTTAAACCTTAAAAAGTGGAGTCTTGTGTATTAATGCTTTTCACCCTTTTTACAAACAAATAAAATTATTTTTAATCTACACTCAAACAAATCGATCTGTTCAGGATTTACCTTATTTATTGAAGAAAACTCTACAGGTAAATTTCAGATGGAATTTGAGGAATTCATGTAAGTTGAAAACCACCAAGGATGTCCAGTCTCCCATGTAAAAGTGTCTCTCTGTCACCATCAAACATCGCTTTGGGGAAAAATAATTACCATGACACTTCAATATTATATAAAAAAGAGACTTTATTTATTTATTTACCAATTACAGGATTCTTCTAAGTGGCAGCTGGCAGTATTAAATACTTTTTGTATTAGATATTCTTGAAAGAAAAAATATATATAATGATTTACTAGTCATTGTTTTTTTAACTGTATATCCAATATATCACAGAGGGCATTGTATTGACCATTTATACTCACAACAGTCCCAGAAGACATTAAATAAATCAAGTGTGTCAGAGCAAAGCAAAATGATTTGCCATAAGTCAGCAGGGACAAATAATAAATAAGTGCTTGAGCACATCTTAACATTGTATTCATTTATAAAATAATGTATTTGTTTTGAAAAACAAAACATTTTGCTTGGAAAAGGAAGTAGCACTTATGTGCGCTACATATTACCTGCAATTATTATAAATGTTAACAAAAGTCTTGACTTTTTTCATATGTGGGTAATCCGTGAACAAATGCAAGCATCTTAGCATGTAAAATAACTGCTTAAAATTAAAAAAATGCAGCATTGATTAAAGCATACTTCTCACTGTAGAAGGGCAAAATCTTCAGAGATGTGTTTACACCCTTTGGTGCTTTCTTAGTAGACTCAATGTTGAAGAGCTGTTGAAAAAGTGCTGAAATGTGTAAAATACATCTAGTTTGACTAATACCTTTAAATTATGATGTCCCACTGGACTTTATAAAAACTTTTTTTGGTCTAAGTCTTTGGTCTAAGAGCTTGGCTCTTTCCTCTGCAAAAGTTAATTACATCAATACCCTCATAACTAGACTTTCACGCAAACCCAAACGCCTATTTTACACTTTTAACTCTCGTCTTCGCCCTGTTGCTCTTTCTTCTTCTACCAACTTGACCGCCACAAACCTTGCAACTCACTTCACTGAAAAGATTTCTACAATCAGGCAAGAGATTTGTCTTCTCTCTTCAATACTTCCCCAAACCCCACTCCCGCTGCTGTTCTATGTTAATTCACACGTGCTACAGTGGAAGAATTGTCTGCTCTTCTCCAGTCTTCCCACCCCACCACCTGTTCCCTTGATCCTATTCCCTTGTATCTCACTAACATTTTCAATATCTCCTTCTCCTCTGGTATATTTCCATTACCCTTCAAACATGCAACTGTAACCCTGATTCTAAAAAAGCCCAATCTTGACCCTAACTCCACATCCAACTACAGCCCTATCTCGCTACTGCCTTTTGCACCCAAGATCCTTGAGAGACTTGTGTATGTGAGATTGACAGACTTCCTTGAATCCAACTCTCTGCTCAACCCGCTTTAGTCTGGTTTCTGC